AGTGATTGTGGAGTTGTACAAAAGTCTGTCTTATCCATTCTCAGAGTCATATTAAGTTGTTATGCTACTTTACGATCAACTTTTGTACAAAGGAGGATTTTAGAACAGTATTACGCATGAAACATCAGATTGGCTTCTTTCAAAAGATAAATTTTACACGGAAATATTTGTTCAGTCAAATTTGAAGGTAGACTTATGGTTACTGAAGTCCGGATGGACAGTCTCGGAGCATTTTAGCGAGGTCCCGCTTTTTAGGTGACTTTTGACAAGGATAGGCAAGCACAGCGAAAATACGTGAAGGTAGCTAAGAAATGAGTTTTCATAAGAGTTCAGAATTACTTACTTGACTAAGTTCATTATCGGTAAAGTTACACTTGGTAGAAAAAACTTTAGCTGTGCAAAATGAAAAGTTCAAGCCTTAATAAGTCGTAGTTTAATGGGTAATGACGTTTTGAGGACAGTTTTCCAAATTCCAAGGCAAGCATTTCATTGTCAAGACTTTAAGAAATTTAAGAAGTTTAACTGTGCGATTGGCTTTGAAACAACCTGCAAATTTCTTTTTCGTCGTTTACACAGTTATATTTTTTCAAAGTTGTTGTTAAATTAGATGAAGTTTCCTATTTTTTAGGTTGCTTCTTTTTGCGATCTCAATAACCGCCTTGCATTCTTGTTTCATATAGTTCCATCGAACAAACTCATAAGCAATAACTCAGTTTTCTTCGCAAAGTTAGCTGAGTACTACTCGGTTTGTTTTTTTAACCTCTGTATGGTTAGGTTTCTTTCTGTCATATATTACTTATAATGATAGTTTAGCAATTTCCTGAACTAACGTACAGCGAGATGGAGATGAAACTGAGGTATGAAATGCGTTTAGATATGAACATGAGGAGACTGGAACAACAGTCTTTTATCCATTATGGGGAACATATGCCTATTTATTACGGAAATTTAGCTGAAAGGATTTTACCTGTATGATCTCTTTCTATTACGGCAGCTTTTTATTATGCAATATATATTCAACTGCCATCTTAATTAACGTTGTTTAGACGTCTTTTTGCATCTTAGTTTTTATGTACGAAACTAGAAAAATCATTTGCTTATTTGTTTTTCTGAAGCATTTCTTAATTTGAGGTCGTTGACGTGCTATTATTCCGAGCTTTGGAAATTGGTATTGCTGATGAAATATTTGATAACCTGCTCTCAAAGTTTAAAACATGCTACAAATACCATCGTAAATTTTAATTTTTTTTAATTACAACAAAATTTATTAATATCAAATGATATTTTACTCTAGGTTTATTTTATTTAGTAGGCATGTTTTCGCCTTAAAATGTTAATGCATTGATTCTTTTGCAATGTTTTTCTGACCCCCTTGAGTAGTTTGTTTCGTTAATGTTATTCTTCCTCTTTTTGAAATTTATTGGACTTGAAATGTTTGTGTCGTTCACCGTACTGATTTTAGCGCAACCTGCCAACTTCTTGTATAGTGTTCTTTATTGTTTGTACAAAAAATTAGGTCACACTCCTCGAGCACAAAAGTTTGTTTCGGAAATTTGTAGTCAAGTAGAGGAAAGGTCAGTTGAGTTTCCTAATTTGACTTCAATAACAGTTTTATTCAAGATATCATAGTAAAATAGCGTTATTTCTAACTTGTAATTAGTAGTGGAATTTAGAGACGGTAGTAACCAATTGGTTAGTCGGGTAGACCAGATTTTGAGTCCTCCACAGTTGTGTATGTCACTAGTGGACCGTATACTTCAAGGCACCAACTATCCTCACCAGCCGCCTTCATTTGCCTGCAAGGTTCTACATGTTTTTTCTAATTATTTCTTTCGTATTAATGCCTAGCTGCAACTAAGATGAAGAAGTAGATTTTATTAATTGGTGCTACGGTTTTGACTCTAGTTATTGAAATTTACTCTGGATGGGGAGAAGGGGTCATAGTACAGTTTTTGCGATGTTTTTTCTTTTTCTTGCGGGTCATAAGTTTGGTGACCTACTTTTTTGATTCGCATTCCAAGTGTCTAGTTTAATACTGCGTTAGGTGTCTAGACCTGTTTTTTTAGTCCAAGTGCTCTACCAGTTTTGGTAGTTCCTGACTTTTTTTTGTATATTTTTTGGCTTCTTATTACTTGTCAAACTTAATTATGCAATATATCATCGAATGAAATTGGAAGTTTGGTTTAAAAAAAATCTTTTTTAGGACTGGCGTTTTGCAGAATTGCCTCCTGCTGGTCAGGCACTTACTGGGGCTTGCATAGAGTTGATGGCTTCACAGTATCATCCGAATATTACCGTTAGAGAGTTAATAGAGATCGCTTTTGTACGACCGCTTCGCCAGCCGTATGATATTACTAATTTGATTTCTTTTTTGTATGTAATTTTATACGTGCTGTCTTCAAAACTATGTTTATTTCTAGTTACGCTGCTATAAATGCTATCAGTCTCATATTAACCTCTTTGCCGCCTTCATTCCAGCAAAGGTTCTTTGACCATATTGTAAGCGTTGTTGCGTCAAAAGAATTAAGAGATGGTAAGTCGAATGAGGTTTTACAAAATGCTGCCTTTTTATTTTTTAGCAAGCTGGCTAGAAAGCTTGCTTGAGATAACTAACAGTTAATTGATAAGTTCTATAACTGTTTACTTTTTTTATTCGAAGAACGTGTAATACCTTGTAAACTCCAGCTGCTTTTAGTTTTAATTTATATTTGTTTAGGTGACCCTTCGATTTGCTTTGAAAATTTAGAAGGTGAGTGTTTCTTACTTACTGAAAGTTATCTGATGACGAACCTTGCTTTGTGCCATGCTTACCTGCAACACTGCACTAACGTAAGTTGAGAATAAGTTCTTTTTGTGACAGTTGTAAAAGATTATCCAATTTTTTAAATAAAGAATTGAGGTGTTTCTCATTTTATTTTAAGGTTCTTGAAATCATTTATGGTATTACTTTCACTGCTTAGTAAATGGTGTTTTAGTATTCTTTGAGTGTGTTACCTGATTTTGTGAAAGATCATTTGGTCCCGATTTTGGAGACAGAGACGCAGTTATTATTCGTTCTTAGACTTGTTTTGCCGATACTTCAGCGTCTTTACGATGCTAAAGAAAGAAACAAACAGTTGCAAGATGTAGGCACTTTTGAAAAAAAAATTTTCTTTTTAGATTGAAGTTTAAGGTTTTATTGTTTTGTTTTTAGTTGGCGGTTGATGTTTATAAAATGACTGTGAAAGTTAATGAAATGGTCGGGCGATTTAAATATGAAGATACGGTGTGTGATTTCTTGTATCACATGAAGTACATGTACGTTGGGGATTTCATCAAAAGTGAAGCAGAACAAGCAATCCAGAAGTTAACTTCATCAATGCGTGAAAAACTTGTGTACATTTCCCACAGCCAAGCAAGTGCTGCAGATGCTGCCAAGGTTAAGCAGAACACCTCTAGTGGAGGAAACTCTTCTTTTTTTTCTAACTGATAGCGTTTTCTGTTTTTTCTTTGGTCGTTTTCTTAGACTTTACGTCACCCTCACGGACGAGTTGCAATTGGTCGTAACTAGAGTACTGTAGTTCGTACTGTCGAGAATCTAGTCTTTATTATATGTGAACTGGTCATTCGCATGACTCGTATAGCTAGGTTTGTACTTTTTAGGCAGGAGAAAGCCAGAACTTTTTAAGAGGTAGTTTCAGAGCATAAGAAGTGTCTTGACTTTCTACAGTACAAATCGCAGTACTTTGGTGAGTGTTTCTTTATTAAGATTGAGTCTTTTTTGCCAGCATGCAAGAAAAGTTGTCTAAATTCGATGATGATCTCATGTCATGATTAACTTTTTATGACAGCTCTTTGAAAGATTCTGAAATACAGATCGTGACTATTGTTAAGTAGTTTACTTTAGACAGTTTTCATTTGTTTAAGCTGTACTTACATTCCAGCATACTGCCAAATCCCATTGCTCAGTTGTTACGTTGAATAATAAAACTGCTCAATAATATCAGCTTGCTTCACACTCAAACCAAATATGGTGTAAAATTTTGAAGACATTAGGGACTGTCTGCTGATCGATGTACTCGGCAAGCGGTGACTCTGATTTTCGCTTTCATTTCACTGTCTCTTCGTGTTTTAGTGTATTTTGTTGAAGGTATATGGCTTCGCAACGGAGAACGGTAGAAAGCGAGGTTTAATAGGCGTGGTTCTGAAGTGACAACAGTTTCGGTGGACTGAGTTGTTATTCCTGCAAAATTTTTTTGTGAAATCGTACTGCAAGCTGGGGCTGTAGAGGGGATTCATTGTGCGACTTGAAAGCTTGATGGGATTTCTTAGGTCCACTTCCGGGGTTTCGTTTTCAGGAAATGCTTCGCAGACTAGGACATCTTCAACAGCAAAATTACAGATTTAAACATCTGGAATAAATGGAAAATGTGCTCTACTTTCGAAATTTAGCACTAATTTTTGAAAGTTGTTGTCATGGGTTATCTTTTTTGTTACCATGTCTTCTACAAATTTCACCAATAATGACTCTCCCAACAAGGGCCTTCACTGTTCTGTTAGCTTCTGTTAATGCATTCAGTCTCAGAATTGAACTGTTAATTCTTGCCGCAATAAATGGGGCTTTCAAAAAATGTTGTTATCATTAATAAAACATAAGTTTCTAACAGATTATAAAAGAAACGGGGACAAGATTAAAAAAATATATAATCTTTTTCACTGGGATAAGATTTTCAGTTGGGCAATGTTTTATACGACTGTACTTCTCCCTGAAGGTTTGCAGATATGCATTTTCTTAAAGGTGTCAAAATCGTCTGTAATTCGACTCGCTTCCTCATAGTTCTCAAGTAAACTATCTCTTTCTGTTAATGGCAGGCGGGCTGAAACATAGTTAGTAGAAAGAAGTTTTTGTTTAGTGACTGAAAATTGGTTGGTCCCAATAGTAGTGTATCCAGCGCACAAACTGAAGATCAACACGCAAAAATTCCGCGTTTTTATGTTAACAGTAGCCTCTGCTACATAAATTAATGGCGCTTCAAGGAAATAAGAACAGTTGCTAAAACAAGTAGTTTGTGATGGGGAATTGAAGGCACAATGCGTAGAAATGCCGCATTAAAAACAAATTTAATGATTTATAAACCATTTACATTTATTGAAGCTTCTTAGTGCGGGAGTTGAAAATGGGAAGTAGTCGGAGCAAGCTTAGGTGACATTGGCAAAAGTTGAGAACAAATTTAAAAAGAAGCATTGAGGAAGTAACCCTGAGACATTAATCAGTGATAGCTCAGGCTTTTTTAGGTTGCAGTTTTGTAGAGCTTCAAAAGACAATGTTCTATGCCTCATGGTTTTACTGATCGTTCGGCCATCCTTAATAACGTCCGCAGTAACTTCTCCATGAAGTTTATGAAATAATAATTTGTTCCCCACTCAGCTCTTCCAACTTTCACTTTCCGCTAATTGCTCCTCAGCTCCCTTAAAAACTGTTCCATTACTTTAGCAAGTTAGTAGTCTTCTACAAAAAATAAATTTCTTGAAACAACGCGTGGAAGTTTCAGTAAATATATTAGGGATATACTTTTAAATGTACTGCACACATAGAAAAACAACTGAAAAAACCTGTTGAGTCCAATGACTAATGAGTCAAAATACTCCGAATCATAAAACAAACCAGGGAACTTGAGCCAACGTAATGAATTGTATTTCACTGTCTACAGATCATGTACTTGCCTCACCTGTGCCCTACCCTTTACAACTCACTAACGGCACTTAAGTTCTGCTAAAATGTTCCGTGTCTGTGCATGCCAAAGACGCTTATAAGCCCTCATCTTGCACTTAGCTTTCTCAGTGTATTCTTAGAAAAAAGCAGCATTCATCCCTAGATGCTCTTTCTTTACAACTTGCAAACCTCCATATGCTTTGTAGAATCCTTTCTTGATTTACTCTACTCAATTTGCTTCTACAACCCTTGGACGGTTTTGACTAATTAGTTTCAAGACAGTTTCCAAATGAATTTTTGGTAATGTTTTACAACAGTATTTTTGATAAATACAGATTCATTACCTGTTAAGGGTCCTGAATGTTCTGCTCTATCAAGAACTTTAAATGGTTGACCGTGCGCCACTTTCTCCAAAATTTTATTCTTTCAGTGAAATAAAGGCAGCAATCTGGAATCCCCTTCACTTTTGGCTAGCAAAATATCCCCTCTATATCTATAAAAGATCTCATAGAAGCAAAATTGCACAGCTCTTCCTAAGCCAGCAAAGAGGACCTTCTCAACAGACTTCATTGACCCTAAGTTGTTCTACGCTAAAAGTCAAATGGATCTTTTTTCTATATATGAGATATTTTTTAATACCCAAGAATTACGGGTTTCACTGATCTTCTTTTGGAATCAGTCCTCTCCACCAACTTTTGAACCACTAATTGAAAATCAACTCCAAAGAATTGTACAGCTTTCGTTTTATTCCATAAAAGCTAAGAGGTCCTCAAATGCCTGTTTCATTACGTTATTACGGCTCAGACTCAGGAAATTCAATGACGAGAGTTTTTAATTACTCTGAAGGCGTCTAATACAGATTACAATTGTAAAGTGTATTTGCTAAAATAGCAATGAATACATGCAACTGAATCATTCTTTTGCACAAATTAAATATGATCCCAAGTATTTTAACCCTTTAAGCATCGTAAGAATCAACAATTCCCAACGACTTCTTTTTCAAACAAGTAGAAAAACGCTCATCACAGTTTTGTTGATATATATCCTAATAATTCGTAACTACCAGCTAAATGACCTAACACCTTTATTTTGAAACATGGAAGCGTCAGTGAAACTTCAGTAAACTCAGAAGTTGGTTTATCGTCGAGGATAATACTCAAAATCTAAGCTATTTTTCCACTGTAGCTAGATTACTGATTGGCAGCATGTACTTTGAAACTCGGAACATAAGACGTACATCCTCTTCGGCCTCTTGATACATTCTTGCTCTGCAGACCGATAGAAGAAAATAGCTTCCTCTAAGCGCTTAATTTCAAACATGAGGCTATCAAAGCAGATACTTATTTTGTAAAAAAA